AGTAGCTGGGATTACAGGTGCCCACCACCACGCCCAGCTAATTTTTGTATTTTTAGTAGAGACGGGGTTTTGCCCTGTTGGCCAGGTTGGTTTCGAACTCCTGACCTCAGGTGATCCTCCTGCCTTGGCCTCCCAAATTGCTGGGATTACAGGTGTGAGCCACCGCGCCTGGCCACCAGTTCTTGATTACCAGATTAAGTGTTCTTATAGAAGATTATGTGGATCTTGGATCTTCTGCTCTGTGGAAACTTCTGTATTGATCAGTCTTTCTTCGTTGATCCCATTTTAGAGAGCCCTCACATCAAGGCCAGTGTATTGTTAAACATAGTCAGTGTTGGCTCAGTCACCTCCCTCACCCCTCAGTTGTTGCTCCACCTACCCATCCATGTCTTTCCATAGGCATGAAGATGGGAATTTAAAAAAAAAAAAAACACACACATACTGGGCATGGTGGCTTGAGCCTATAATTCCAGCTACTTGGGAGGCTAAGGTGGGAGGATCATTTGAGCCCAGGAGTTTGAGACCAGACTGAGCAGCATAGTAAGACCCTGTCTCTACAAAATAAAATAAAAATAATTTTCAAAAATCCTTTGCAGTGTTTTAAAAAGCTAGATAACAGGCTGGGCGTGGTGACTCACACCAACTACTTGGGAGGCTGAGGTGGGTGGATCACCTGAGATCAAGAGTTCGAGACCAGCCTGGCCAACATAGTGAAACTCCGTCTCTACTAAAAATATAAAAATTAGTCGGGCACGGTGGCAGGCAGCTGTAATCCCCGCTACTCAGGAGGCAGAGGCAGGAGAATTGCTTGAACCCAGGAGGCAGAGGTTGCAGTGAGCCCAGTCGAAACCCTGTCTCTTAATTAAAACAACAACAACAACAACAACAACAACAACAAACTAGGCTGGGCTCGGTGGCTTACGCCTGTAATCCTAGCACTTTGGGAGGCTAAGGTGGGTGGACTGCCTGAGCTCAGCAGTTTGAGACCAGTCTGGGGCAACATGGTGAAATCCCCATCTCTACTAAGATACCAAAGAAATTAGCTGGGTGTGGCAGTGTGTGCCTATAGTCCCAGCTACTCGGGAGGCTGAGGCAGGAGAATTGTTTGAATCCGGGAGGTGGAGGTTGTGATGAGCCGAGATCTCACCATTGCACTCCAGCCTGGGTGGCAGAGTGAGACGCCGTCTCTACAAAAAAAAAAACAAACCTAAAAAAACCACTGGTGGAACATTAGGTTCACCCCATCTAAAGACGTTTGCATCTTCTTGTAGGTAAAGCTTTAGGGACGACGGTGATGGTGCCTGTTCCCTATGAGAAGATGCTGCGAGACCAGTCGGCTGTGGCAGTGCAGGGGCTTCCGGAAGGCGTTGCCTTTCAACACCCTGAGAACTACAACCTTGAAACCCTGAAATGGATTTTGGAGAACAAAGCAGGGATTTCATTCATCATAAATAGGTGACACGCTCTGCACCCCCACCCTCTCAGTTCATTTAAAGATGAAACTGATCGCGTAATTTTAATTCACTCATGCATTCCGCCTGTTGCGATTCAGAGCTGACTGTTCAGATGTGTCATCCTTTTTTCATATGTCCATACTGGGTAACAGCGTTGCTTTTCTTGCAGACCCTTCCTCGGACCAGAGAGTCAGCTGGGTAAGTGACAGCTTCTCAGATTTGGTGGCTCTTCTGAGCTGCTGAACCACTTCTTCTTCATTAAAACTTGAATTCGGATGAGGGGAGGGAACTTAGAGGACGGGCCAATAGGTGCAGCAAGCCACTGTGGCACACATGAGCCTAGGTAACAAACCTGCACATTCTGTACATGTATCTCCCTCCTCCCCCTGCCCTTTTTTTAAAGAAGAAATAAATTTTAAAAAAAAGAAAAAGAAAAAGAAAAATACATTTGTAGCTATCAAAAAAAAAAAAAA